AAAAAAATGTCTAACTTAAATATGTTTGCAGAAGGACATTTTCTCTTCTTCAATGCATCCAAACAGCATGTTGACACCCATCCCATGGTACTAAGGGGTCCAGTTTCTCAAAATTCAAAGCAATCTTTTTCAAGGGCACAGGCAGCTGCAAGTAAAACACTGACAAAACAGGAATCTTTTTTGTGAATCACCAGGATCCAGGATACTGATCCAGGAAAAGTCTTTGAAGAAACTTCCTCTTGTAAAGTAGCTAATTTACTGAAACAAATGGTTTCTGCAAAAACTGTGCACAAATAAAGGCAGATAAGATTCAGAATATTATGCGTACAGACAACACTCTTACACATAACTGCATATGCCACTTCTGCATAGACTTACTTCTGTGTTTTATATTTTTCCAAATCTGAAAATTACTTTGTACGTGAAAATGTGTGTTTCCCTTATACACCCACACACTAGCGCTATGCATATCTTGGTGCTTCAAACTGCACGGAATACATGTGAAATACTTCTTTTTGAATTGTTAAAGCAGCCACATCTTTTTCCCAAGCTCATGTAACTGCTTCAGAAACTGCTCCCAAACATCTTTGCCATTTTGGTTTTCACTTATTCCAGGTATGCATGCACATGCATTGCAGACTCAGCCACAAACAATTTCTGAAACAGCTGCTCAAGCTCAGAAAAAAAACACTATGCTTAACATTGTTAAGCACCTCTTTCAAAGAATCTGCAGTTTTAAAATTTCTATTTAATTCTCTCTCTCTCTCTCTCTCTCTCACACACACACACACACACACACACACATATGAATAAAAATCAGCCTGAATCAATCCATTTCAGGTTGAAGTCCTCTTCACTGAAGGTAATATAGCAGGCAGTTCTAGTGTGAGTTGGCAGATATTTTCCAACTTCCCAGTCTAGGCCTGAGACATAATTACTGGCCCAAAGTTCATACACACACTCATCTCCATATATAGATACAAATAAGACTACAAAAGTGATTCACTGACACCTTGTGGCAGAGATGTTACATAGAACAAACTTCAGTACAGTACCATCATCTGAATCATCTTCTGTTATCCACCATGGCACAGGAAGCTTTTTATTTCCAGCCTGCTCAACTGATTCAGGAATACTACATTTTTGATTTGGTTCATTTCCAAGTGAATCATCTGAAACAGACTGAATAAAAAGAGAGTCAGTTTGCTGTTATTATTTACTTTTATTGCTTCATAATTTTTTTACAAGCCAGCCAAGTTTAAGCATGCTTAAGCATCACTGATTTCAAGGAGAGTTAACCATGTGCTTAAAATGCAGTGGTTCTTAAAATAAAATTTTGCACTGAATATGTCCATAATACTTAGTTGAAGGAGCAGGTCACACTTTTTATGATAAAGTGCAATATTTGTACTATGCTACTAGCAATTCCTCCAATACTATTTGGCCTACAGATTAATCTCTGATCATTCTCCAGATTCTATTCTCCATCATTTCCATTTCCAGCTCCTCTTCTAGCCACACTCTTTTAATATTATCATTGCTAACTTGATTTATATGCTACTTTCCTGTTCAAATTTTCTAGCCCAGATGTTTTCTAATTGAAAAGAAGATGTAAGAAAACATCTTTACAGATTTTCTACAGAGTAGAGACCATGCATAACAGCCTGGGAGCACAGTAGATGAAATTTGAAGGGCAGAAGAGGTATTGTAACTGAAAATTATGTTAAACTATATCTTCACAAATTCAACAGTTGGTGGCAACTTATATTTTTATTACTGCATACATTTTGTCAATTTTATAAAACTAACACAATATCCGCATTTGACAATTAGGTACTGTATGTGAACAATTATCAGGCTTCCAAATCACTGGAGTTCTGTAAAAGCATAGAATACCCTTATTCCTTATAGACCTCTATGTTCAGATCATGAAAATTAATGTCCCCAGACCAACATAAATGTGTTTGTAAATCCTTTTACTTTAACTCTGCTCTTGTGTAAGTGAATGCTCTCATAGGAATTATAAAAATATTTTCATAAATCATACTGTATATTCAGTTTATTATGTCCTTCTTTGGCAACATTGGAAGAATCAAAGTAGCAGCCAATCTAATTTAAAACACATTTGATATTAAAAGTTGTACTCTGATCTCTTTTGGCTTAGCGCTTGTAGCGGAACCATGTTTGGAAGATTTTTAAAGTGAAGGCACAAATGGCCAGGATAAAGCAATCCTTAAAATGAATGAATTTTTTATTACCATCAAAATAAGCCACATCAAATAGAGTAGAGGCTTTAATATATCTAGATAATACACCAATATGTAGTAAACCAGATAATAAAAAAGCAGTGGAGATTATATGCTACAATTGTTGAATGTACCAATTTTGCTAAGGACTACACCCACTCCTTGTTTATTAACTGCATTTCTTTCCAACAACCAGGTTGTTAAGTGAAATGATCACTAAGTGAACAAGTGAACAAGTGATGAGAGAGAGAGAGAGAGAGAGAGAGAGACTGCAAAGTTCACTGGTTGCTGCCATCTCATTTAGATAACGCTGTCTTCTACAGCTATGCCAGCGTTACTCTCACTCTGGTATGCACTGCTATTAGGCACATGAAATTTGGTTGCAAATGTGTGCATTGGTCAGAAAGTGATTTTTTTTATTACTGTTTATTACCGTCTTATTTATGAATGGTTGCTAACCAAGGAGTGGCTGTACTCATTTATTTGCTGGTAGCCAAATAAGATTTAAATGGAAGAACCTTAAGGTACTGCAGCATTGTTCACATTGAGTATTCAACTTGAGCTACCTTCTTGCCCAAGGCATGGAATACTGTCCCTGAATAATTAAAGCATTTAACCTGTTGCTCTGAGTGATCAGAGGGCTTTTGGCAAATAGTACAATCTTTCTTTTCTTACAATTAATTGGAATATGATTATTAGTACAACATAGAGCAATATGCCTCAATCTTCTCCTGAGATCACATGGTATCTGTGATAAAATCATATCATCACTTGCATATTAATAAACTTTTATCAGCTATCTTATGAGGGCAGAAATCCAGATCTTGCAAGGATCTGATCAGAGTGTTAATGCAGAGGTTAAAAAATAAGATGGCTCATAAACAGTCCTGTTTAACCCCTTTCTTGGTTGGGTTGCATTTTGTAAAATGCCCTATGATTACAGGAGCAATCTTTCGTTCGCGTATATCATATAAATATATAGGAGGAAGGGTTTATCTATGGTGGAGACCTTAAGCTTATCCCACAAGATTTGTTTGGAGATGAAATCAAAGACATACTTAAAACTGACAAATGCCTAACAGAGCACTGCTTTGGGTTTACTAGAGTATGGTTTCTAAAGTTTACACCAACAGATACTGCAAATTTGTTGGTGTACAAAGAATGAAAGAGTCAGAAATTAAATATTTATATTATTTTTAGGGGTGGGTTTTTTTTGTTTCTTTTTAAAATATTTGTAAATAACAATACAGATTTTGTCATTAAACTCAGAAATTTATATTTCTTTTTTATATCATGAAAACAACTCAATACTCTGCTTGGAAACTTCTACTAATGTTATACTGAGCATTAGTTGTATAACTTCAGTAATTATCTGTCCATTTACAAATATTATCTTGTTTTCAGAATACGTATCTGTTTTAAATAATTTTTAAAAAAATATCATTGAAGTTGATGCAAATAAAATGTACATTTTTGCCTAAAAAATTACAGACCTGTCCAGGTGATCACTGGTAGTTGAGCCTGATTTGAAGTAGTCTTTCTTTTATTAATATATATGAATATGTTAATGTATAACATTAATTATAAATAAATCTAATAGCAACATTTTAATACAAACAAAATTCTTATCAGTAAATTCATGATCTCATACAAATGTAACATTCTTTTTCTTGCAATGCATAGTTAGCATTAAAATCTCTGAAATATTTTACTAACTCTTCAAAAGAAAAGGAAAGAAATAGTAGCCAGGCAGCTCAAGAGACAACGAACTCTTGCTCTGCTAAATGAAAATTCCTTCATTATCCTTTACAGAGAAAACTGTGTTGGTGTTCAGATATTATCCTAAGTTATCCTAAGGATTGTATGCCACAGGAAACAGTGTTTGCTCAGTCACAGTAAATTATATTTTCTGGCTTACTATAGTGTGTAATCTCATTCACTGTATGTTTATAACCTAAAGGAATTTTAATTCATATGCCATTCATATAAAAAGAAAAGGTGTTTTAAAAGTGAAATTGAGTTGTACCTTTTACTCAACTGATATCCAATGACAGCAGCATTGTTCATGATGCTAAGTATATTGACCAGTTAAATCTAAGGCAATGTCAGGACAAGACATTTAACAAGACTTTAGAATGGGGCACAATATTCTGTTATGACATTGAAAATAGACAAAAATATATTTGTACCTCTTTCAAGAACTGCTCAAACTTTTCATCTACTTCTTCACTTGAAAACTGGTGAGCCATAGTTAGCAACAGGGTTTAAATTCCCAAATCATTGGAATGATCAAGTGATGCTGAAATGAAAAAGAAGCATGTAATTATTGTACTCAGAATTTTATTACTTTCTAATTTACATTCTAAAACTTCACTTGGCCTATAATGAGGGTGGACTACCCACATCCCTCCAAATAAATCACTAAATTTAAGTTCTTGTTGCTTTGGGGCAAGGAATGCAAAAACCATATTATAATGATCCAATACTATTTTCCTGATTCAACACAATTGGACAGCCACATTACAAAAGAGTTCCTTGAAATAATTCAAGATCCATGAATATGTACCTGTGTTAAAGAAAAGAAAGGATTTCCAGAGTAATTTCTAATATAAATGTTAAGCACTTTAGGTATAGCAACCAACTGCACAAAATATTCACTAAAATAGTAATTTCAGCATTAAGAACAGTTTCCATTTCTAATTACTTATCTCAAATCTGTACAGAATAATATCTATACAGAATTATATAAAACAACAATAGATGCAAAAAATTGAATTTAATAAGACATCCTAATGGAAAAAGTCTTTAAAAAATAAGATTATGGCAATCTGTTTGCCATGACATAATCTAATCTGCATTATTTTTAAAGGTACAAAAATGACAGTACTTTACTGAGAATGTATATAATAAAGTACAGTAAGAACATTTTCTTTCATTTTTTTTTTTAAAAATCAACCTGTTTTATTCTAATTTGCCTTGCTGAAATCATTTTGAAAATTTCAGCTGTATGAATCCAGTCATTAACAGGCAGATATATATCTGATCAATATTAACATGGATGATAATAGCTTTGTTTGATCAGATCAAAGACCCATCTAGTGTAGTACTCTCCAACAGTAGACAGTATACCAACCCTTTTGGTATATTATAAGCACGATAGAAAGCGGAGGACTATGTTGTCTGTCACTGGTACTGATTCTCCAAAACAGGTTCTCTAACTACAATCCAGGAAGATAACAATGTCTTTTTTTTACATTATCATGTAGCACATTAGCAAACTTCATTTATTTAGTTAGTTATTTCTGAAGCAACTCACTGTATAGCTTCCTTTTCCTGTATTGACTCAACAAGAGGAAAAAGAAAAAATATTCTATTCACTATTTCTAGAAATCATTTTAGAAAACCATTTCTTAAATCACAATCATGTTTGTAATTATATATCTGCCATTTTTATATTTATCTCAGTTCTTTTTAATACATGTTTTGAATTCCAAATACCATAAAGAATATATAGTTCAATATTTTTAAATGCTATATTACAGTATTTATCATTTATATTCAATTATTTTCTTAGTAATTCCTAACATGTAGTTAACCCATTTGCTGATCTACCTGTGACCTTTCTATCATAATGTATCCAACAACTGTACCCAACGTAATCTTCAGCATAGAAAAGCTAAGCAAGGTCAGGCCCGATTAGTACAGTACTTGGATGGAAGATTGCCAGGAAATGCTAGGGCTGTAGGCTACATTGGGAAGATGGTTATGGTATTGTTTTGTACTGTTAGAAAGAAAACATGGATGAATCCTTGGAGTCAATCTCAAATGGAGAAATACTTTATCTTATTTCATTAGATTTGTATACTGCCTTTTGTAAAGGAGCTCAAGTCAGCGTATAGAGAGCTTCCTCCTTCTATTTTTTCCCACAACCACCACCCTGCGAGGTAGATTGGGTTTAGAGGGAGTAACTGGCCCAAAGTCACCCAGGAAGCTTGCATGGCTGAGTGTGATACAGAGCCTGGGTCTCCCAAGTGCTAATCCAACACTTTAATCACTACACCTTATTAGTCTCATTATATATACAAACTTCAAATTTACCTATGTCTGATTGCAATTTAAATACACTAAGGAGCAAGACCCATTGAACTCAGCAATCTTTAATAAGTACAGTTTGGATCACGTGGTGAATTTAGTTTGCCTTTCCTATTTTCCATCAGTTTAGAGAGATGCTTTCAGAGCTCTTCAATGGGTCTTGGATTTTGGCATTCTAAGTGAGAATTAGTACCATGTGGTTAGACCAGTGTTTCTCAACCTTGGCAACTTGAAGACACCTGGACTTCAACTCCCAGAATTCCCCAGCCAGCTCAGTTAGACTGTTGGTCCAAGTCTTCAGGACACACATTAAAATACTCTCCCAGCCACAAATCTCAATAAGTAATAATGAACCATTCACTATCTGTCAGCCTATAAACCTCAAATGGCTTTAAGGACCTTTTCAGAGAGCTTAACCACTTTGCTTAACACAACCTGCACACAGGAAATCAAGGCGCTGCCATTCAGCAGTAGGCTAAAACAGAGGCAAGAGATGCAAGGTAAGGATCAGCAATGGAGCAGCCAGTTTTGTGTCGCTTTTCTGTTCACTCAAAGGCGCTTCAGATCAGCCCTGGAAAAAAGCTCTCTGCTCAGACAGGGTGGCAAAGATCTGGAAGATCTCTAGGTGGTAGCAGAGTTGCAGGTCCCTTCTCCCCTTCTCTTTGCTGCCATCTGGTGGTCGTCTGCTCTGGCTCAGGCCTTTGTCTTTCCATAGACGCCTATCAACAGCTGTTTGGTCCCGCGCCACCCCAGGACATCCACCGCCTTTGGTGGCTCCACTTTTATGAGTAAGAGATGTGCGAGCGCCCCGCGACTACCCTTCCCCCAAGCACCAACTATGCCGGACCTACTACACTCCTGCGCGCCAATTTCTTCTGGAGCGAAAGCGGGGATTGCAACTGCAGAGAACACCTCGACCAGCTCTGCAGGCCTTCCTGCAGAGAGGACATAGAGCCACGCTGCTCCGGACCCACGCCGTTGCTGCGCCAGCCACCCCTCCCGCGCCTCAGAAGGAAATGAGCAGAAGAAGGTCAGGCCGGCGCCTAAATTCACCTGCGGACGAGGAATTTCCGAAGGGAGAAGCCGTTAGAAGAAAGTTCCGGGCAGCCGCTGAGGGGTAGCCTAGGCAACAAACTGAATCCATGGGGCCACCGTAGCGCAAGCAAGCGCTCAATGCCGTAATAGGTTATGTGCCTGTGACGTGAGACACAGAACGCCGAGAGGAGGATTATGCAAAAGCCATCTCTCCGTTGTCACGTGATACGAATAGAACCTCCGCACCTAAAGGCGGGAGGGAAGTTTGTTGTGGCGGCGAAGGAGGGAATTAAAGCAGGTTTTGTTTCAGCCCAGTGGTTTTGCGTGTTGATGCTTTTCCTTTGAGGGAAGAAACGTCTCTGAGCTTCATTGGCTTCATTGGCATCGTTATCTTCTCTGGGCCGCACAACACCGGTGCAGGGACGCACGGCGGTGCATCCCCCCCCAAATGCAGAGCAGCTGGTTCTGCGGTTTGCTCGTCCTCTTCCTCTGGGCGGCTCAACATCAAGAGGCTGGCCCTAAGGACGAGAAAGCCGCCCTATCTTAACCCTGAGAGAGTCCCCAAAAGTGGGCTGCAACAATCCGGACGATCACTAGATGGTAGCAAAGAGATACGGGGAAATTTCCTCTTGGCTATCTAGTAGAGGTTCGGATTTTTGCAGCTCAGATCTGGGAATGTTTGCTTCTGAGATTGCTCTGGTGATTTAAAAAAACAAACAAACTACCAGTGAAATGATGCCATATCCTGAATATCTTGGCTCTGTTTAGTATTTTGCTTGTGTGGAAAATGTGGTGTAAATCAGAGTTGGAGGGGACCGTGTAGAGCACTGACTCTGATTCCCTCTCAGTGCCAGAATCCAGTTTAAAGCATCCCTGACAGATGGTTTGGGAACAAGTAGTAACCAGCATTATGGAGATGGGGAGTTAAAATTTCACAGAAACTTTCAGTAATGCAAGTGATCTGCATAAGATAAAGGTTTGGAAGTCGCTGGCTTGGTGTAATGTATGAATCCTGCCATTGTAAATAATTTATGTTCAATGTAGGATGCCCTTTTTTCCCCTGGCCAAATTTAGAGGCAAATTGTGCCATTGATGCTTTGCAATTTTGGCAGATTGATCTTGGGGCCTAGAATAAAATGGCTCAGGATTGTAAGATTTGTGTTGGTTACTCCTCAAATAAGGCGAAATAAGTTGCCCGTATCTGCTTGCTTGCTGTCTTTGGTGGATGATGTAACAAAGTTGATAAGGAAAAGAGAATTCTGAGTTGAGCAGATCTAGTCAGAGAGAGAAAGAACTGAAAGTGAACAAAAGAAAAATCAATGGGCATGTCAGTTGCCGTTTGTCCCTGGGTGTTTCAGAGACTGATAGTTGGGTTTGGATAATATTTATTTGTTACATGTCTTTACCACTTGCCACTATTACACCATTCGGAGGCACAGATGAGTAAATGCAGGAATGAGATATTTTTTGCTGCATTGCATATTAAGCAGATAGAGGCAGCTGCATGTATGTTCTGCCTGTAGCACACTGAACTCAGAGAACGATACAGAAGGTAGAGAAAACCACTGGCTTCCCTTCCTTGCATGTTTTCCCATTCATTCCTAAAAACAGCAGAAATGAGAGAAGGAAAATGTACTGGGAAAGCAATATTTCTTTTGCTCTTTTCTAGTCCCTTTTGAAGAGCAGGGCAAAGGAGAGAAAACTGGCATTGACCATCTCATCACTTATAATCACCAATGGGCTGCTTTTTCTTCTTTAAAAAAAGTAATTAAAAGAAAACTGTCTCTCTAGAAGCCCTGAAAGGATACATGCATTAAATAAGGAAACCTGTTCTAAATGCTTATTTATCAGTTTGTGTACTTAGGTCAAATACTGTATAAATAGGGAAAAATGACACAAAAGCAATTGAATTGTATAACACTTCTCTCTACCCTCAGCTTAAAACAAAAATGTACTTTGTCTTAATTGTGCCATTTGGAGCAGGAAGGTCGCTGGGGCTTTGAGCAATTTCTTAAACATTCCAGGACAGTGCTGGTTATGGATGAGGTTGTTTACCTGGTTATCTTTGCTAAAACAAATTAACGACATGGCTGCATTCTAAATGGCTCAGGAGAGGCAGTAGAACATAGTGGGAGGATCTGGCAAAGTCCTTGGGAAGAAGGTTCAACTTGCCTTACCATCTTTTTCCACTTACACTTAATCACAGTACAAACTTACCCTGGAAACATATTTTCTTCTGCCATATTCCTGTGACATTGCTTTCATCTCAGCCTAGCCCATGAGTAAGGAATGAGTCATCCTTAGTTTTACCAGTGTTAAAGCAGTATTTTCCCCCTTAAACTGACAGCATCCAGTGACAGATGCAAAATGTGTAAAATCTATTACACTTCCTCCATTACGTCATAGGGAATATCCAGTGGCCTGTGGTAGGTAGGATCAGAAAGGTGCTTATGGCCTATTTCAGGCTGTTGGAGCAGGCCCCTTCTGCCTGGTTCCTGAGCGTTCTTATCTGCTGCTCTTTTGCTATTGTTTCCTTAAGGAGCTGGATTACTTGCTAGAGTTTGAAATAGTATAAGGGGCCTAAATAATAGAACCTCCCCCCCCCTCCTTACTTCTTGAACAGAGCGTGTTCATCTGGAAGCCATCATGACTACATAAAGAAAGTAAAAGAAAGCGGAAATCAGAATTGTTGCTTGTGACTCAGCTCCCTCTGTAACCCCAATCTGTTGTTGTTTTAAAGGTTACTGTATTCAGTTTGGGCAACTATAGAATGGGATACAGGAAGAAAAGGACAGAAAGAAACCTAGAGATGATAGACAAAGTCCTATGGCCAGATCTGCAACCATCCCTCCTGCAGTGCCATGTTTGATGTTCAGAAGATGGAGGGCAGCAATACTGGAGGAATCAGCCAGCTGCTGTTTATCATTCACTGCACAAGCAAAATCAGGACAGCGCCATTGGCAGTGAGTCAAAATAGAGACCACAAAGGCAAGATAGGGATCAGCGGTGGGGGCAGCATTTTTCATATGGGTATCGTTTTCTGCTGATGGATGGTTAAAACTTTAACTTCGCCACAGGCAAAGGCTCTTAGTATGCGCATTAGGGATTTGTTGTCTCTTGCAACAAACAGGAGGATACACTTAAGCAGCAAGCAAGAAGAAAAGATTACAGCCAATGTATGAATATCTTATTTGTTTCTGAGCCTGATGTGGATGGTGTGGGTTCTTCAGAAAGGGGAGAATATAGAATTCTGCATGTGGGGTACTACAGGTTGCCCACCCTTAAAAAAACTTCCCCTTTTCAGTTTAATGTATCTGCCATTTCAGGTCTTCTAGAGAAACATTTTTCTCCCTCTGGTTACATTCTGGAGCTTCAGAAATGCCTCCTAAAACTGACTTCTTAGATGAATTTTGACTGTAGGACTTTTTAGCACACAAACTATTGGGTGTTCTAAATGCCAAATTTATTTTGAAAACATGAAATTATGGGAACTAAATATATAGAAAATAAATGCATTTCCTTGCCCATGGCGACTCTGTACTGTCCTAGTTTATGGATGATGGATTACAAAGTGAAAGTAAGTTTGTGTGTGAGAGAAAGAGAAAGAGAGAGAATTTTTTTCTCCTACAAATCCCAAAGATGATAACCATCTGTTGCCACTACACTCCCAATTTTTTAACTAAATCTCTTGATCTTTTGATGTTTTCTTACTGAGGACAACAAGTGGCAGCATCTAGCCAACCTTGACTAATTTTGAAAAAAAGTTAAGAGTTGGATTTTGCTAATATTTGGATGGGAGATCACCAGGCAATCTCAAGGGTTGAAGGCTAGATTGGGAAGTCAGCAAAACATCCTGCAAGAAGAGAATGGCAAAGCATTTCCATATTGTTGCCAATATCAATATGCCTATATAGTTGCCAAGAGTTAAGCTTAACTCAAAGAGTCTTTACTTTTTTGTGAATACATTTTAATATTTATTTGCAGCATTTCAATGCAAAGAAAATAAAGATTCTAGCCTCCCTGGTAACATCATTTTCAAGTATTTTCAGAACAAAAGCTGCGTATGTGTGTTACCTGGTAAAGTATTTGATATAAGGATCATGTGGCTTTTGGAGTTTTGCACCACTGCCCATTAAAACTATTTTGCTGAAGAAAACAAGTTCTTGTTTATGTTATTTTCTCATATGAAAATATGAAGACATTTTGTAAGCTAATCTTGGTTTTGAAGATTTTTTTTTTCATTTTCTTTGTCTAATTGGTTAAGGTTTCTGTTGGTTCCCAATTTTACTTATTAAAGTATATACATTAGTAGGTTTTCTTTTTAAAAATTAGCAGGAACATATGTAGAATCAAAGGGCAAAATATGATTTAAATATAATACGGTCCAAGTTTGAGCCATCTTCAAAGCGGCATTAGCCCAACTGCCAGATGTGAATCTGCCCCCCCCATCAGACTTTGCATTAACTAGATTACACTGAAAAAAAACCCCTATTTATAATATATGCTACATATTGACTATATTATAAAAATTGGTGGATCCAGGAGCAACTAAATAATACGAAAGTCAGTGACAAGGAATCTGCCTGTATGATCCTTACTGTCCTTTGCCGGTGTAGTATACTGAATAAATGAGGGTAGAAAGTTCAGGAACAGCCTTTCATCCTATTCATTCATACTCAATACAAAGACATACTGAGCAACTATTAAATTTGTTTTTTTAAAAAAATCTCTAATAGTAAAGCTTTTGAATGCAAGAACTCACTGTATAAATTGTTTCATCCAGTCCATCATCCCAGATGTCCTCCAGATGTGCTGGACAACAATTCTCATCATCCCCTTCCAGAATGCTATGCTGGATAGGTATGGTAATTTAAAGCAGATACCTCTTACTCTTTTAGCTGGTTGGCATATTTGGATATAATTTTTCTAAAATTATTAGGATTTTGATTACAATAGTAAAAACTAATACAAACTAGACTTAAAGAAAAAAAAGAATAGTAACAAAGAATAAAAAGTGCGAGAAAAAGGAAAAAGAAAGAATATGATAAAGAAAAAGAAAAGAAATATATAAAGAAGGGACTTCCAACCTTCATTACAAGAAGTACAGACAAATTTAGTAACTCTTCACCCCTTATAAGGTTACATCCCATATCCCAATCCCTTATTTATAAGCAAATCCATAAAACATTAACTTGTTGTAAATCCAATAAGAAAACATTTTCCAGGTCATTTGCTTGGTTTGTCATTTGTTTTTCCTCTTTAATTTTTAAAACTTCAGCCAGTTTCTTTTGTA